TACTCAGTTTAGAAAGTCTCAGGGCAGGGACCTGTAAAAGTGGAGACGAAGTAGACACGGACGGAGAGGGAAGAAGTAAGGAGAAATGGAGAGCTTGAGCAGCGGTAACATAAATGCTGAATGAATGGGGTTAATACTTGGAGATCTCACATGATCGCAAATATCTTGAAAAGTTATTTAGCGTAATCTCTAGATGGGCTAGAAGTTTACGTCAAGGATGTTGAAAGGGCAGAAGGAGGAAAACAAGATGTTGTTTCAGGGAGGGTATACAAAGGTGAAGGGAAGTGGAAAAACAGATTTAAAGAAAGGACCGCTAAAAGGAGAAGCTAAATATACTTTCAAGTGGTGCAGATATCTCTCCACAAGTAAAAGGGCCAGCAAAGATAGAGGAATGCCACATGGCTCCTCTCCACTCTCAAACGCATACAGAAAAAGATATAGCCTTCTGCTAGTGCTAGATAAGACAGATAATCCCAGGTTACTATTAACTGCTTAGTTAATGCTTTTTGAGCAAATGGAATTCCATTAGAATTTCTCTAGGCCTAATTTGCTACGAATGCATATCATCCCACTGGTAACTCCCATGCTGCTGTGTCGAACCTGGAAATGGTGACTTAGTGCTGTGATAACAGTGCCTTTGAATGTTGTCATCACAAAGACACCACCATAAGCTTTAGGTTTGTTTTATGTATTTTGAATCTTTGTAGAGCTGGTGTAGACCAGGCATCATCATTTTAGCAAAAACAAAACAAAAAAAAAAAAAACTGGGATCAGAATCTGGATATGATTTATGATTAAACCTGATTTGGTGAATACTTTCAAGGTCTTCCATTGCACACATCTGGATTTCCTTTTGAAAGCATCTGCATTATTCCAATGTTCAAAATCTAGGACTTTAAAAAAAAGTTTAAAATACCTCTTTTTATATAATATTGTTTAGTCTGAGACTCTCATGTGTCATATCTACCTCCCACCCTGCCCCCTCTAACTTTAAACTAAGTTTTGTTTTTGACACGGGGGTTTCTCTGTGTAGCCCTGGCTGACCTGGAACTCACTCTGTACATTAGACTAGCTTCGAACTCAGAGATCCACCTGCCTCAGCCTCCAGAGTGCTAGGATTAAAGGCATGGGCCACCACCACCCAGCTTTTTTTTTTTTTTAATAAGTACAGCTCTTACTAAGTAGTCAAGACTGCCCTGGGACTCATTATGTAGCCCAGGCTGACAGATAGCAAGCTGGGAATCCTCCTGCCTCAGATTCTAGAGTACTGGGAAGCAGGCATGCATGTTCTACCACTCTTGGTTAAAGTACCCCTTGGTAAGTGACTAATGTTAAATCCAGTTCAGATATCTTGTACACGAGCATGGCTGTTGTTTAATTGCCCCAGCAACTAAGAAGCATTAGGGTTGGCACTCTAAGAATGAAGTAAGCATAGTACTTATTAATTTCTTGTGTGTATATTAAGTATGTTTTAGTGTGATCCCCTCCCTATATAGTTAAAATGTTCAGTTTCTAAGCCTAGATGTATGGGCGTGGCTCAGTGATAGAACATTTGCCTAATAGATCCACAGCACTGAAAAAAAAATATAAACCTGTGTTCTTTCGTTTTATATTTATTTTTCCTTTGTGTTGGGCATGGAACGTAGGACTTTAGGCATGCTAGAAAACTGCTCTACCTCTTGAGCAATTACGTTTTGAATCCAATAATTTAAATAGAGAACATACTCCTGTAATTAGTGTGGTTTAGTATGGTTTTCGTTTTGTTTTGTTTTTGAAAGGCATTGTCTCATGCTTGACACAGAAAACAATAAGAGCACATCCATCACAGTTTGGATTTCTGATGGCACTACATTCTAACTGCACCAAGTCATAGTGTCTGTCAGTCGCCTTTGTCAACTGGAATGTGTTTTGTTCTAGTTGTGAGTTACCACAGCTACTTCTAACTCATTGTGCTTGTTTGGATTTGTAGAATAAGGGTGCTGTCAAGTCAAATTTTAAGAAAGTTCTGTTACAAAAATATTATCAAAATAAGCAGGTGCCTTTGTTTGGTGTCTAGGATATTTTTAGAGTTCCATTCATTTTCAGATTAACTACACCAAATATATGTTTTTTGAGTAAAAATGTTGTTTTGGCAAGGATAAGAATCACAGAGAAGGGTTGCTGCACAACCCTTAACGAAAGAACACAGGTTTATATTTTTTTTTCAGTGCTGTGGATCTATTAGGCAAATGTTCTATCACTGAGCCACGCCCATACATCTAGGCTTAGAAACTGAACATTTTAACTATATAGGGAGGGGATTACACAAAAGCTTTTACTTGCTTTTGACTTTTTTTTTTTTTTTTTTTTTTTTTTTTGAGACAAGGTTTCTCTGTGTAACAACCCTGGCTATCCTTGAACTTGCTCTGTAGATCAGGCTGACCTTGAATTCAGAGCTCCTTATGACTTTTTTTGAGAGGGGATGGAATCCAAGTCCTCATGTAAATGTTTTGCCACTGAGCTTACACCCCAAGCTCATGATTCTTTATTTATTTACTTAACTTTATTTCATGGGCATTAGTGTGAAGGTGTCAGATGCCCTGGAACTGGAGTTACAGACAGGTGAAGCTGCCATGTGGGTGCTAGGAATTGAACTCAGGTCCTCTGGAAGAGCAACCAGTGCTCTCAACCAGAGCTATCTCTCCAGGCCTGCCCTTTTTTTTTAACTTGAAATAAAATTCACATCATGAAATCCATTCAGTGGTTTTTAGTGTATTCATAAAATTATTTAGCTATAGAGACTGGAAAGATGGCTCAGAGCTTAAGGATACTGACTGTTCTTCCAGAGGACCAGGGTTCAATTCTGGTCCAGTTCTGCACCCTCTTCTTGGCTTTCAAAGTTATCACACACACACACACACACACACACACACACACACACACACACACACACACAGCTCTTGAGCATGCAAAATACCCAAACACATTGAAAAATAATAATTAAAAAGTTAATTAAAAATTGTTTAGCCATCATGATGTAATTCCAGAATATTTTCATTGTTCTCCAGTAATACTCTGTATTTATCAATTTTTAGTTTAAGTAACCTAATAATCTGCCTCTGGCTCCCGAGTGCTGGGCCTAAAGGTGTGCACCACCACCGCCTGCCCTCTGTACAGTTTTTTATGTGGACATATTTTCATTTTTTTTTAAAGATATACCTACCAATTACAAGATCACATGGTAACTTTTAATTTAAGATTTAACTGTTTCATGAATTCTTGGCATATGTTTTCTTTTCTTTGGTTTCTTACTATTTAAAATTTTCTCATAAATTTTTGTCATCCGTCAAGAAATGGTGTTTATGAAAGTCTGGGGGAAGAAGGATAAAAATCTTTTAAATTATTCTGTCAAAAACATGTAGCAGTTTCTTTTCTGTGGTTAAGTTTTGGCCCTGCCCTCTGTTTTTAGAGAAAAGGAAGTTCTGTGTAGGAATGCAAGGGTTGTCTCTAACTTACTGTTTCTTTTTTTTTGTTTGTTTGTTTGCTTTTTTGAGACAAATTTCATGTTCCTAGGCAGGGTTTGAATATGATTCTTAGTTAAAGATTTTCTTAACTCCTGCCTCCACCTCTGAAGTGCCACCAGTACAGACTTGTCACCCAGTTAAAGGCTAGAGATATGTTTGGTTGTCAGGAAAGCAGGTAATTTTCACAGCAGCCTATTCTGATGTGGAAGTCATCAAGAATAGTCTTCTATAACTCTCTGGAATCCTTGGTACTAGGAGTGAACACCGAAGAAATTAAATCCCACTGTCTTTAAGCACCCACTTGTTCATTTGCTCAGTAAATATTTATTGTATATCAGAGGTAACTTCTAAGTCCTGTATACTGAGGTCAGGGTAATAAACTTTCATGAATTTATTCCTGTCTTTGGTGCCCGATAAGTAGGTTATCACCCCTAAAAACAAACAAGAGGATCCTGAGTCATTGTATATTCATTTTACGATTTTACTTCCACTGTATTTTTCATCACTTGTGCTATTTCTAGAACAGTGTTGTTTCTGCTTGTAAGCAGAGATCAAAGATCAAGGATGCCAGCCATCTACTCAGGCCTAACAGCAGTAGTACCTTAAGGACATTGCTACAGTCTTAGGCCTAACACTTGAGTTTTGCAGCTCCAGAAGCTCCTTCTTTCATCACTGATGGGGAAGGTCAGTGTGAGATACCAGAAAGCGCCCACCGTGAGAAATGCCAGTGTTTTAGTCTGTGTGTAGTTACAGAGTACCCTCTAAAACGACTATCTTGCCTTTCC